CTTCTTTTTCTGTTTTTTTAGCTTCACAGTTTACTGCATTCTTCTGTGGATGATATTCTTAATCATTATAATGACATAATTTTTATTGTTTTTCTTGTTTTTATTATTGTTACTGTTTCTATAACTATTGTTTCTACTATTGTTTCTATTTCCCCATATTTACTTCTCCCTTTCTCTGTATTTTTCTTTTTTTCTTTTTTTTTCTTCTTTTTGTTACATCATCTCCTTCTCTGCTTCTCCTCATCACTGCATCTCTCTCATATCCTCCCCCCAATCATCATCGATTTCTCCTCTTTCTTCTTCTTCTTCTTCTTCTGCTGCTGGTATTGTAATTTGTCTCCCCTCAACAAGCAGTTTAAGCGGCCACCTTTTGAAGGGGCAGCCCATCTTTCCATAAGCCCAAATTACGGTGTATGTGGTGACCACCATCATCAGCAGTTCGAGTGCTCTATCACGCCAGAACTCTTTCGTTTTCACTGCCTGACGAAGAGGTATATACAAAGGATCTTCCTGCAACTCTACAGGCATAGAAATATCCGGACTTGCTGCAGCGGGTGCAGCAGCTGCTGCTGCTGCTGCATCAGGAGGAGATTGTTCATCAGCTGCTGCTGCTGCTGCGGCCGCAGCAGACGGCTCAGCTGGGGAAGCACTCAGCTCAACGGGGGCATCGGCAGCAGCATCACCTTCAGCAGCGGGAGCAGGAGCAGCAGCAGCAGCAGCAGCAGCAGCGTCAGACTCTGCTGCTGCAACGATATCCTCAGCTACAGCCTCCTCAACCCCTGCTTCATCATGGCTCAAGCCAGCGCGAGAGGAGAGGCAGAGGGGGGGAAAGCAGAGAAACAACAACACAAACAAACGCATTGGATTTGTTTTCTATTGATCCAGGTGCTTCTATCCTTTAAACTCAAAAAATAAAGAGTAAATACTACCTAAACCCTAAACCCTAAACCCTCAATACAAAAGCGCGAGGACGTCATGAGGGTTTTGTGGTGTACGGACGGCCATGTCGTCGCATAAGCTGTTTACGAGGAAAATTAAATATATTAAACGTTTACTATTATTATAAATACTCAAAATAAAGTTCTTAAGCCGCAAAAACTCACCTAAACTAGAAGCAGCTAGAGAGTACATGCATCGCCGCTGCAGCTACCAGAACAGCTGCTGTGGGTCATACATGAACTGAGGAATTACAAGAAAAAATCAATATAAAAATCAATGAAAATAAATATAAAAACTTTTATAAATCACATTCTTAGCTTCTTAAGAGAACTATTTGCACAAACTATATACACCTGAAACACAGAAAGCCAGCTTTCCTATGGAGACGAAAGATCGGTCCTTCGCAGCAGAAGCAGCGTTGACACTGAAGGAAAAAAACATAAGCGAGAAGAGAAACGCTTTATAAATAAAACTTTTATAAACTTTTCCCTTTTTTTGTTGAATAACATTATGCTTGCAACGCTACGTGCTCAGCCAGTCACCACCGTCTTACCCTCTCG